TTTCAGTTGTAAAAATGTAATAACTGAGTGAGATAGATGTTATAATAATTAATAATTTTTATTATTAATTATTATTAATAATTTAAGATAAATATTAATTAATAATATAATTTATAATTAATATAATAATTAATAATATTACATCTCAGTTATTTAATTAAAAATTGTAATAACTGATAATATAGTAATTAATAAAATTATTTATCATAATTATCTACCATTATAGAGGTAACTACACAATTTTAAAAATTTTTATAGTATTTTATTTTTAAATTATTATAAGAAAGCATCTTCAAAATTACAGTTAAAAAAATCAGTAAAATATTAGATAATTGCTTAAAATATTTTAAATTTTAAACATTACTTAATAGTTAAAAAATACAATAGCAAACCATTCTTACTTAGAATTCGAAAAATTGTATCAGCTCTGGTCCACCATACTAAACCTGTCAACACATGCGGCCATCAAATTATCGATGGAGACTTGAGAAAACCCAAGACTCCGTGGTGAAGAAATGCTTGTCTAGAAAATTTCATGGTGTAAGTGATGTTTGTTTTAAAACAGATTAATTAAACTTTAAATTTGCTAATTTTATGAAAGTAACATTTCAAAAATCTATGTTATTTTAGGCGTTTTTTTTTTTTTTTTTTTTTTTTAAACAAAAAATTATTTTTGTTTACATTTCTCTAAAAAAAAAAAAGTTAAACATGGCCGTTTTGATAAGTTTTTCAGAAGAATTGATTAAAATCATTATAATTTCTAGTTGAAATACAGTAGTGTTTTGTTTTCTGGAGTTAGAAAATTTAATCCTTTAGCTTTCAATTGAAGCTGGGGGAAAGCTTCAAAAATGATTTTTTATTTATGAAAAATACATTTAAACCTTGGGTATACCAAATCTTTTAGAGGTACCTATTTTTATCTATAAGAAATTACTAATTAAAATATTCATGTTGGAAAGTAAAGGATTGTTTTGACATTTACTGTAACTGTACATAATTTTTTTTCAATAGTTATTTTAATTTTATGCTGAAAAAGCTATATTTTTATACAGTAATAAAACAATCTCATTCTTTCTACAACATATTCTAAGCTAATAATGTTGTAATGTTTGATTTGTTTTTTGAAAATGTTCCACTGCAATGTAATCATGGCTGATAATTCTAGCCATCATAATCTATATTGTGACGTTACCCCGTCTGTCACTCCGTGCCGTCTCCGTCCTGTGACGACCAACTGACTTGGTATTGGTCGCGGCACCAAATGTGACGTTCTAACTCTTTGCTGATTCGGATGGGAATCTGGTTAGGTTCGGTATCAGCTTTGTCGCTCCCAGCTCGCCTCCAATGTCTGGTTACCAAAGTAACTGCTTTGATTTCTAGTCTAACCTACCCACGTTGTGATTTGATCTTAGGTAGACGAAATCAATCGGTCGCCGGACCACAATGCAAGCCGAGTCTGAGCAAAGGTAACACCACACAAGTATATGTAAAAGAAAATAAAGTAACAACTCGAAAAGTTCAATTTTTTTTTTTTTTTTTTTTTTTTTAAGCATTACGCCCCAAGCAAGGCATGAAGCCACTAGGATGCAGGGGGTTGCGGAAGATTTGAATAGTTGGAGATTATAGCTTTCAGGGAAACAGTAATTGGGGAGGGTGTTCCACTGGTGAGAGGTGCGAGGTATGAAGCTATTGAAGTAGAAGAGACGGCTACATTTGAAAGTTTCTACGGTGTAAGGGTGGGAGCGGGATGCCAGCCTCGTAGGGCGCTTGAATTCATGGAGTCTGGGAACCGGCGAAAGTAGCTCGTCAGAGCAGTTACCATGGAAGTATTTGTAGAAAAGACAGAGAGAGGCGACGGCGCGTCTGTGAGAGAGTGACTGCAGACGAGACGCTAGATCAGGGCCAATTAGATTACATATCCGTCTCTGGATCTTGTCAAGAACTCCGAGGTAAGCAGAAGGTGCCCCAGCCCATATATGGCAGCAATACTCCATGCAAGGGATGTGTTAAAGAAAGAATAACAATATTTTATATCTGGTTGCTGAATACAGGACTGTGTCTTTCTCCCAACCCACTTATATGGATTCGTGACACTTTGTGTTTGTTAGGCGAGTCTTAACATCTTAAATTGTTTTTCAAGAAACTGGTTTTTGGTGTCTTCAGATGATATTCATAAAATTTGTTTTGGTGGTGTGAGTCTAAGTCGTTCTTCAAAAATAAATTGTTTTTGGTTAGAAGTTGAAGTCAGTATGCGTGGATCTTCAGTCAACTTTCTGCGAGGCAGGTCTCAGAGCTCACAGCTCAACTCTGCGTCTCTCTCTCCAACTGCTTTCTGTGTTTCTCCAACTCTACTGTGTTACTGCCGTCCACTCGCTGTGACTCTGCTTATATGGACGCCAACCAAAACCGGGGTGGGTTTGTCGGGGTTTGAGGTTCCTTGATAATTCTAAATTCACAATAAGGATTTTCTTTGTTTTCAGACAGGAAAATTTATTACTTTCCATTTTTGGAAGTCCATTACTTTCTACTTTAAGGGAATCGTCCTCCCAAATTCTTCCTTTCTCATATTGGTATCTCATACCAATCCCCTCAGAGGGCGTCAACAGGTTTCCCCTCCTTTCTCATAGTTTACCTTCGCCTACTGCTCATGCCACCATTCAGCCAATGAACACTCAGCAGCGTGGGTGTTTGCAATTATCGCTCAAAGGAAGAAAAAAAAAATTATCTTCTTTTTTCTTTTTCTTCTTTCTTTCTCTTCCCCGAGCAGACCTCTCACGACTCATAGCGTGGTCCCTAATCTCTATCTTAATAGACTGTCACCTGGACTTTATTAATCGTGATTTCCGCCAGCGTCAAGTGGGTGGTTAACTGGACGTATTGCTAATTATCTCTCCCGGTATCAAACTTTTATCATGTTCATGTCTGGACAATAAAACAGGTGTTTTTTCCCAAAACCAAATGACATCTCCGAAGGATAGTTAATGGTTTAACCTTTTCGTTTATCTTTTCCCTTCCTTTCCTTCTCTCCTTGGGGGTGGTCCAAACTGAAGCCATTCTCGGTCAGTGCATGACCTGATTAAGATTATCTCTTAGCATTCTGTTTTGCAGGCCACTTGACCAATTTGAAATTTTCATTATTGCCATGGGCAGATTGCTATCTTCTTTCGCCGCGTCATAACATAAATTAATTCCACAGATCCGATATCTTACGAATAATTATTTCAGCTTCTTCTCGTCTTCTTATCACCTTAATTATTTCAGCTTCTTCTCACTTTAATTATTTCTTGCTTTTCATTTTCACGCAACCGCTAAATAGTGTCACAATATTATTTATCAATAAAAATATTTGATTTTAAAAAATTTTTATCAATTTTTTTTAAAGATTTTACATTAATAAAAAAACATAAATTTTACAAATAAAAAACATAAATTTTGCAAATTATAAAAAAAAAACACTGTGGTGACCTCATTTTTAAGGGCTCCACCAAGGTAATTTTTGCCTCCTCCTATCTTAGGCTAAACTCATCCTTATGAGAGCGATACAATATAAAAAACCTAGTTTAACATCATACCAACAAAAAAAAATATATGGTGTGTCAAAAAAAAAAATTTTTTTTTTCTTGATATTTTTGTTACTGCATAAATCTAGTTTCATGTTTGGGTTTTACTAAAATTCTAGACATAGCATTTTAAAACAATCAAAATTACTGAGGGACAATAAATTAATAGAGGTGTCAAGAGAAAAACTGTCCTTTTGACATACCAATTTTTAAGAGTACATATTGTTCTGTTACCACAGTTTAGATAGTATTGTTTTACTTCCCTTTTGTAGTTTAGGTGCCTTTTTAGATTGATCACCATTTTAAACACTTCCAGTTAGCCCTTCATCAGAACCCTCACAATAAGGGCATGACACCAAATATGTAGTTTGTACTTTTATCATCCTCCTAATCTCACCCCCACTGTTAACCATAACCGGTTGGTAACTTTTAATACCTTTTCATTTGTTTATTTTATTTCCATGTTATTATTTGTTTAAAGTAGCCATATTGTATTCTCTCTTTCTGTAGAATCCTTGCAGTACATGTCCACACATTCTTTTTTGAGATGTAACCTTCTTGTAATGTCCTTTTCTGTGAACTCACCGTAACATTGGAATGTATTCCTGTGGTAAACTTTATACATATTCATGCAAACAAAGTATTCACCCATTTAGACAAATCGTCTTACTCATATATTCAGCCTCCAGCTACCTTCGTCAAATTTCTTGTTACTCTTGTTTGTTTGCATTTTCAGATTAACTAGTTTTATTTATATTTATTTATTTTTCTTTTTTAATTTTACCCTTTTGGTTATCAATAAACCCGCAGATGAATGGAACTTTGTCTTCAGAGTCTTAATTGCCTTAAGGTGTTTATCTGGCTGTCTTTGAGATTACGCACACATACAACACTGATGCATACTCTTGGCGGCAGAACATATATATTAAACTTTGCCAAAATTTCATACCACCAGCTTAACTGTAAATTTGATATTTTCATACACTTCTACTAAAATATTTCAGGGTCATTTTAGTGTAACAGTATCCCTATTTTTAATTGGTTGTATTCTGATGTTCAATATTCCTGTGTTTATGAAGTGGAATCATGCAAATGGTGTACCAGGGACAATCCTCATACTCAGTGGTGGGGACTTTTGTTGCCAGTTATCAAGAAAAACAAAAATGCATAAATCCAGTTTCATATGTTTGGGTTTTATTAAAATTCTAAAAATGTTTTTTTAAAACAATAAAAATTCCCAAAGGAGTATACAGTTATTGAGATATCAAGAGAGAAAAAAATGTCCTTTTTCATATCCGAAAATTGTGTGTCGAAAGGTCAGTTTTTAACTCCTGACAGTAAGAAATGTTAAACATTGCCCCCCCCCCCTTCCTTTTTCTTTTTTTCAAACAAATTATGTATATTTATTTCAGTTTTCTTATTTATTTCAATGTGTTACAGTGTATGAATAGTGATGATGCTGGCCAGAAAATGTTGGCATTGTTAAATGAAAAACTGAATGTTTTGAGGGCAGGCAATACAGAAGAGGACATTATTCAACATGAGATGTACACGAAAATTTCAACTCTACAGAAACAAAAAGAGAGTAAGTGCACAGTTAAATTTACTGTCTTTTTCTTTTTTTAAAATTTTCTAATTGGAATCAATGTGTGTTACGAGGATGCATTTCTATAATAAGGGATTCCACTGAGTTCTACTTGTTATTACAAAAAAAAAGTTTTCATTCATGAAGTAGTTGTAAAATAGAGAAATTAGAAATAGAATGTTTGGAAGATTCTAGATCATTCTAGTATATTCAAGAAAAATCTAGAAATATGCAAATTAGGTGTTAGCCCCTATAAAAATGGGATTTTGGAAAAGGGTTGTCAGTTGACGAAGGGGAATTTCTGCTATTATCAACTCCGGCTTTTGATTCAAGGACTATTATATCCAGCCGAAAGAATCCCTCTAAAATGTTGTATATATTTTATGTTATGTTTTAGTAAATTAAATATTTGTTTGTGATTTAGCTCTGTGTTGTGGTAAATCATTTTTTTTCCTTTGTTACAATTATCAACACGTAACAAAATGGGGGCTTATCCAACTCTATAATATCGTGCAAAAACAAAAAAAAACCTCAATATACGTAATTTGCAAAAAAAAAAAAAAAAAAAAAAAGCCAAAACAAAAACATACCTTTTTCCATGAAAAATTTTTTAAGTTTAGCCGATCTGGGCGAATCATTTGAAGTTTTACAAAAATCGGAGCTATTACAAATTGCAGACTATTTCAGGTTAAATACAAACCCATCATTGAAAAAAGCAGAAATAAAAAGTATTGTCGCTAAAGAAGTAATGGATAAAAATCTCTTAGACTCATGTAATATTGACGAAAAAGACGACCAAAGTAGTTTACATCTTCTATTAGAAATAAAGAACTTAGAGATACAAGAAAGAATAGAATTGAAAAGATTAAAAATTGAAGCTGAAAAAATAGAATTAGAAAAATTGAGATTACAACAAGAAAATAGAAGTCAAAATTCCAATAATTCTTCCTTAAGTGCAGCATTTGATGCAGGAAGATATATCAAACTAGTGCCTAAGTTTTATGAAAAAACGGTGGAAAAATATTTTCCTCATTTTGAGAAAATTGCAATAAATTTAGGATGGCCTTACAAAATCTGGTCAACACTCTTACAGACTGTTTTGGTTGGCAGAGCTGCTGATATATACTTGGCTCTCAGTATTGAAGAGGCCACAGATTATGAAAAAATAAAAAATGCCATATTAAATGCATACGAATTAGTAACTGAGGCATATAGGCAAAAATTCAGGAAATATAAAAAAATTCGAACAACAGACATACGTTGAATTCGCTAGAGAAAAAGCAGATCTTTTTGATAGATGGGTTAGGGCGAAAAAAATAAATAATGATTACGATAAACTACGCCAACTCATTCTTGTTGAAGAATTTAAACAATGCGTTTCACAGGAGATTCAAACACATATCGATGAAAAAATGTAGAAACTGTTAACGAGGCCGCGGTAATCGCAGATACCCATAGTCTAACTCACAAGAAGAGTTTTGAAAAAATTAATATAATTGAAAACCAGTCAGGCTTTCATATAAATACACAAACACTGTCGGAATCTCGCCCTCATAATGTATCTTGGAGAAGTTATATACACAAAAAAATAAAAGATACACCTAAAAGTTCTCTTCCAACAGAATCAAAAATTTCCTGTGCCTACTGTAAGAAGGATAATCACATCATATCCAATTACCGAATCCTAAAAAGAAAACAGAAAGAAAATAACTCCCTTCAGCCTTTGTTAGACAACAAATTAAGAGTAACTCCTTTCCTCAGTCTTCCTTCTCAAAACCAGGTGTTACTGAAAACAATAAAAACTTATATATGGAAAATTATGGACAATTTTTGTCCCAGGGCTCTGTTTACATCAACGACCCTGAGAAAGCTAGGTCTGTCCAAATCTTACAAGACACCGGTGCGTCTCAAACTTTACTATTAGAAGGTATACTACAGCTATCAGAATCAACCTTCACTGGCGATTTTGTTTTATTACAAGGCATTGAATTAAGGCGCCCCTTCACAAAATTTATATAAAATCGGAGTTGGTGAATGGTCCCATCGTAGTTGGTATACGACCAACCCTTCCAGTTAAAGGGGTCTCCTTACTGTTAGGCAATGACTTGGCAGGTGACAGGGTAGTAGCAGAACCAGTCATCTGTGATAAAATAGAAATAAACGATGAATTTGTGGTCGAAGAAAACAGTGATGTATACCCTGATTGTGTTATTACTAGGGCTAAAGCAAAGAAGCAAATTTCAGAAAAGAAAGATTCAGTAACACCAGCTAATCAGTTACAATTGAATGAAATTTTTATATCTCATCATTTAGAACAAACTAATAATTCGAATAAAAAATTAAATAAACCACCTCCCCAAAAAAGAAATTGTACAGAAAAAATGAAAGACAATCTAAATCAAAATCAACTTGTTATTGAACAAGAAAAAGATCCTGAAATTTGTCTTTTAAAAAATAAAATACTCCATTTAGAAGAAGCAAAAAAAATTTAGAGAATGCTTTTATATGAGAGATGGAATTTTAATGAGGAAATGGCGCCCAGTGAATGCCAGTCCAAATGAGGAGTGGAAAATAATAAACCAAATAGTGGTCCCGAAAATATACAGGCAAGAAATACTAAATATAGCTCATGATACTCCAATGTCAGGACATTTAGGAATAAATAAGACCTGTGAAAAAATATTAAATCATTTTTACTGGCCGAAACTTAGACAAGATGTCGTCAATTTCTGTAACTCCTGTCACATATGCCAGATTGTTGGAAAACCAAATCAAAAGATTCCATCCGCCCCTCTGAAACCTATTCCAGCATTTGAAGAACCTTTCAGTAGAGTACTAGTTGACTGTGTTGGCCCTCTTCCAAAAACAAAATAGGAAACCAATATTTATTGACAATTATGTGTATGTCAACTTTTTTCCAGTGGCTATCCCTCTAAGAAATATTAAGGCTAGGACTATTGTTAAGGCTTTAACTAAGTTTTTCTGTTTAGTCGGGATTCCTTCAGTCATTCAGTCAGACCAAGGTTCGAATTTTATGTCTTGTTTATTTCAACAAGTAATGAGTGAAATGGCTATTAAACAATACAAATCTAGTGCTTATCACCCCGAATCACAAGGGGCTCTTGAGCGTTTTCATCAAACGGTAAAGTCTATGATCAGAAAATATTGTTATCAGTATAAAAAGGATTGGGACGAAGGGGTGCATTTTGTTTTGTTTGCTGCTAGAGAAGCAACTCTTGGGTTTAGTCCTTTTCAATTAGTTTTTGGACATACGGTTAGGGGTCCTATAAGACTTCTAAAAGAAAAGTGGTTGATTGAAAAAAATGAGATGCATCTTTTGGACTATGTATCAAATTTTAAAGAGAAATTATACAATGCTTTCAAAATAGCACAAGATAATTTAATAAATTCCCAAATTAAAATGAAGACGAGATACGATAAAAATAGTAAAAATTGTAAATTTGAAAGTGGTGACAAAGTTTTAGTTGTTTTACCAATTCCTAATCATCCTCTACAAGTAAGATATTTTGGTGAGATAGAAAAGAAAATTAATGATGTAAATTATATCATCTGCACCCCAGATCAAAGGAAAAAGAAAAGAATTTGCCACATTAATATGTTAAAAAATTACATCGACAGAAATTATGTAACTAATACTAAACCTGTCTCAACCTTAATAAACATTAGTAATACATATCAATTTGAAGATGATTTAGACAATAATGAAGATACAGTTATTAGGGAGAAGGACATGGGTCAGAGTAGTCATTTAAAAAACTCGGAAATCCTGTCTAATTTAAATGTAAAATTCAAACATTTATCAAATGAAAAAAGAAAAGACATTCATGGTTTGGTCAATGAAAATCTTTTTCCTGATGTTCCTAGAAAAACAACGGTTGCAGTACATGATGCTTTAGTTGGAGATGAAAAACCCATCAAACAAAATTTTTACCAGGTAAATCCAATCAAGCTTCAGCAGTTGAGAGCAGAGATTAAATATATGCTGGACAATGACATAATTGAACCAAGCAACAGTCAGTGGAGTTCTCCTTGTATTCTTGTACCAAAACCTGATGGCACTTACCGATTTGTAACAGACTTTCGAAAAGTAAATGCAGTAACCAAAAGTGACTCTTTTCCAATTCCTAGAATTGATTGTATTGACAACATTGGCAAGGCGAAATGTGTCAGTAAATTTGATTTAATGAAAGGTTATTGGTAAGTACCATTAACTGACAACGCCAAAGAAATTTCAGCATTTGTGACTCAGGATGGTTTATACCAATATAAGGTTATGGCATTCGGGATGAAAAATGCGCCGGCAACCTTTCAATAGATGATGCATTTCCTTCTACACAAAATTCAGGGATGTGAGGTCTACATAGATGATGTAATTGTGTACAGCATGACTTGGGACGAACATATACACATCATCAAACAATTTTTTCTTAAGCTGGAAGAAGCAAATCTATGTGTGAACCTAAACAAGAGTGATTTCTGTCATGCAAAAATAAATTATTTGGGTCATACCGTTGGTCATGGACAGGTTAAGCCTATCACAGCAAAAGTGGATGCTATCTTAAAGTATCCTATCCCAACTAACAAAAAACAACTAATGAGATTTCTCGGTATGGCAGGATTCTACAGAAAATTTTGTAAAAATTTCTCACCAATAGCAAGTCCTCTCACTGATCTCCTTAAGAAGGAAGTAAAATACAAGTGGAGTGAAACCTGTAATAAGGCTTTCAACAGAATCAAGTCGACTCTCATTGGTGGCCCAGCTCTTACAACTCCAGTTTTTTCAAAACAATTTAAACTGCAAATCGATGCCAGTGATGTCAGTATGGGTGGTATCTTAATCCAAGATGATGAAAGCGTCAATAGAGCCATTGGATATTTCTCAAAAAGTTAAACACCTACCAGAAGAACTATTCTACTATTGAAAAAGAATGCTTGGCGGTGTTATCAGCGCTACAACATTTTGACTTTTACCTCAATGT